TGATTGCATGCTATTTGCAGTATGGGATGGGAGGAGGAACTGAACTACTCATAATTCCTTTGTCTCCCATGAAGCACCAATTACCCTTCAATACTATTTAATTCACACATCACATAGCTCTCCTAAAAAATCCAAGAAAATGCTCTGAAATAGTACCAAAAAAAAAAAAAAAAAGCCCAGAGAGAAAAAATTATAGAATACGCCAATTTCCCCGTATCTGAGATTTAAGGTATGACAAAAACACTACTAATCTTGAGAGGCTGACAGTGGCTCATTTTATTCTTGTCACACTGGAAACGTGTTTCACATCATGTCCTCCCTACTAAGCCCAAAAAGCTACAAAGAACAATGTTAAAATGATCTCCATATGTTCATCTTAAAGGGATTTTAAAGTGTAAACCAGTTTTTATTTTGTTTTTTTAAAGAAAGCTACCCCACAGTCAGCTGCATTATTTCCCTACATGGAATTATTTTAGGGGAAAGACTTCTCAAAATCCAATTGTGTTCTTGGTAATGCCAAAATTACTCTCAACTTCTCTGTCACCAAACCAAGGGAGTCCCTCATGTCTAAATCTAACAAAAGAGGTGATACTGTTGCCAGTAGAGAATTTATGAGGCATCTAGTTACTAAACCAGCAATATCTTTACATAACCTGTTTCTCATCTCCTCTCCTCAGATCTCTGGCAATTTTTAGTCAGGCCCTCTTCCTACAAAGCTAATAAAATCCTAGCACCCAAAGGACCCACCAACCCATAGGTTCCAACCCCATCTGTTTCCCACCCCGAAATCCTCAAGAAAGTCAACTGCAAGAAGGGGCCAAGTGTGTTCCAGAAGTAGGCATGTGAGTGAACTCTAGGCAGCTGAGCATTCCATGAGGTGCTCATCATGGGGACCGAGTGTCCACTAGGACTCCCCAGGGCTGATACAATGGGGGTAAAGTGGAGTCCTGCAGGAGTAGGGGGGATCCTCCTTCCCATTTTAGGAAACACTGGGTGTTGACAGCAGGAGGGAGAAGAAATCAGAGGCTTCTTCCTACCTGGATTATGCCCCAGCCCAGCCCCTCAGAGATGCCTATCAGCTAGACAGAGCTCTCCACCAGCCCAGGGGGGTCCAACTCTGCAATGTAAGACAAAGGTGAAGGAAAGAGGGGTGGGAAAGTCAGCCAGCCAGTAAAATACACCTTTGGCCACTTGCACCTTCTATCTGAACTCTGCCTTGGTTGCAGGATCAATCCTAACAGGGCTCTGAGGCAAGAAGGGACAACATTCCAGGCATTTTCTCTTCCCCTAGCCTTGACCATGGACTTCTAATCAAGGCTGGTACTAACACCTGACCCTTGTTCTCCACATGGACCTTCCCTTTTCCTTCCTCCACAAGTAGCTGTGCTCTGGAGCAGTCTAAGAGCTTGGAAAGAGATTAATTATCTTGGCAGGATAATTGTGTGGAGCAATGAAACACTTGTTTTCTGCACTTCTGTCTACATGTTGAAGTACTGAGATGACCAAGGGGATCTAGAGAAGCTAAGACATGGCTATGAATTCTGGCCACACTAAACTGATTGGAAAATTCCTTTTGAAGAAAAACACTCCGGAATTGGGAGTACAGGCCCTGTTGCTCTTACAGCAGTATAACCAACTAAACAGGGACAATAAGTTAGTCAGTCTTTTTCTCTTTCTCTCTCTGCTTCTGTCTCAGTGGGAAAATTAATTTTTTCTTTGGCAGATGGTTGAGTCACAAAGACAGAAGGATTCATAAAACTCACATGAACATCCTGTAAACATTTAAACACATAAAGATTAAATAAGGCAACCATGACCTTGATTAAAGCTAAACTATTTTTTTATGTCTACAATACTAATCCCTGCAATTTGGACGCTCATCTCCATTCCTCTTTGGAAATACCCAGTTCTCACTGGGCATGGCACGTGTCCAACTGTGTGCAAGCACTAGCTGTTTAATCAAAGTTGTTTTAAAATAGGAAATAAAAGGCACCAGAAGCAATCAACATTTCAGAACACCTAAGCAGGATGATCTAACTAGTTCTCCATTAAATCAGATGGACTTTAAAGTATAGGGAGAGCTGAAATAAAATCAATAAGTAAATTATAGAAAACATATTCATTGTACCTACTCTGCTTCAACCCCTGCCCTTTGGCAGTTAATTGTTTTATCCCCACCAGAGATGTTGGCCCAGGACTAGGTTTTGTTACGATTAAACATTCTGACCTACAGAAGCTAAATGACTTGTTCGAGCTCACGAGCAGACTGATGGGACTGAGCCACGGCTCCTGCTGCTTTGGCCTGCAGCTCCATGGCCACACTGTGCAGACCAACATCAAAGCTGCCCCGAAGCCCTCACCACAATCAGCCTGTGAGATTAGCACTGCCCTCCCATGGTGAAATTTTATGGACCGAATCTGCCACCACCAGGCTCAGCAGCATAATCTCACCAGCAGCTTAAAGCCACGCTTCTCTGAGGCCCCGATACTGTCAGGCTCCTGAGAGAGGTGACAGGCAGCTTTAAACATCTGGAGGTGAAGGGATACACGTGTCAGCTCCCTCACACTCTTGTTACACTGGTCAATAAGCTGAGGCTTTGAAGAATTGCCCAGCAGTGTTTGTTACCTGGTGTAAATTTGCCTTTTTGCAATGCTCTTTATTGCTCTTGGCTAAAGACACTGGACAAAGACAGACCTGACTTTCAGGCAGGCGGGCTGCTTTGCAGGAGAACTTGAGCTTGATGTGTGTGAAGCTGACAGTTCCTTGAAGGCCTTGTCAACCATCCATCCAGTAAACACTGCCACTACCCAGAGTGAAAACAGACCCAAAACCACAAGCACATAACAAGACTCCCTGCACCTGTCTTGAAGCAATTATTGACATTATTGCTGCACAATGAATCCTTTTTTGAAGTTGTTTTCCTGATATTTAACAGTTTGAATACTAATCCCCTTAACAAAACTATCCTGATGCTTTCCCCTCCCGCCCCGCTTAATCTCTTTTGGGAGGGGGACTGGGTACCAGGCAGTCTACTTTGCAGCACCTGGATTTGCACTGATTCTGCCTCTTGTCATTCATGTTACCAACAGGAATTAGCATAAGGCATTAAGGGGAAACTCTGGAGGAGAAAAGAAAGGCCATTTTGATGGAAATAAGGGGCAAAGGAATAATCTGCCATCAACTAAAATGCTTATTTGTGTATGGTTTCCCAAGCAAAGCTCAGAAAAAGCCTATGTTGATTTTAGTGTACACAAAGAAACCTTAATCCTTTCAAGGCAACTAAATCACCCCCAGAAAAGCAGCTCAGAAGAAAGGCACCCTGTCAGGGGATGACTATTCACAACCAAATAGATGCCACAAATCACACTCTGTAAGTAAACAAAAATAAGAATGTGGGAAACGTTGACTGGAAACTGGAGAGGAGGGAGAGGCAAAGAGGGAGAGGCAGAGGGGAAGGGTTCCTCATCCATCACTCTATATCCACCCTGAAGAGGCTGCAGGGCAGAGGAGGCCCAATGGAGGTCCCAGAGCCAGCGCCTGTTTCCAGGCTGACCCCAGTCCTGGAGCACACTCCAAAGCTTTTTTTTTTTTTTAATAGCAAATGAGCAAAAAAGGACACAGTCACATGTGGTTAGAGGTCCTGAGGGTCACCAAATCACAGAAGCCCTGCTTTCCTCAACCTCCCTTCCTGTTAGCCTTCCTTCTCACATAGATGTTGACTCCACTGTCTACTAATCCCCTCTTGTCCTCCAAATGAGCAGTAAACAATTATGCATTTTTACACACAAGCACTATATGCTACGAACTGCACATATCTTCGTTTATTAGGCTTTTAGCATTATGGATAACAAATTTATATAAACTTTCAGTCCATCAAAAAATATGATGAAATATAAAACTGGAACTCTATTATGCACTAAAACAAGATAAAATTCAATATAACAGTAATTCCGGGAGTAACAGCAAGCACATAAACACATACACTTCTAGGGAACTCTAAACATCATGTACTATTTAAAATTGCAGTTAGTTCACATTCTAAAATAATCTGGGAGCTCAAAATAACTGCACTTTTACTAACCAGCTAGCAAAAATGCTCGCCAAGGCAACTCAAGGGCGACGAAATGCAGTCGTGTTTCACATTATGAGGACCCAAGTTAGTTCAAGTACTACCAAGTATCCTCGAGGTTGCACAGAAAAAGATTACCACGGTAAGAGCATCTTCTCTATTTAGCAATTACCCTGCAAGGCCCTAAATCAGGTTCTATAGTAGAAAGGGAAAGATCAGTTTATATAATTTATACCATTCAAATTATACATCTTTCAAAGCCAGTAATTGGAGATTTTCCTAAATTTCATTATTTCCAACAATACTGCTACAAATGAAAACTGCCAAGAAACTTATTGGCAATGATTTAGGGTAAGTTTTCCCTTAATGTACTGCTGTATCATTAGCCTCTCTTACTCTACATGGAGGTCTGGAAGAAATTAATGGCACGGTGGATATTTAAATTCTGCCCTCTTGCTCATTTATTAACTTTACAGAAAGCCCACAGCAGAGCATGGCTTGGTTTATAGCTGTAACATGGTGAATGCTAAACACGCACTTGTTATTATAGTCTACAGTACACACTGACTACTGATAGTTCTCCCACTGGCCCATAGCTGGTAAGTAACAAGGTAAAGCATTTGGGGAACCATTCTTTTCTATTATAGCTTCTCAGGTTACATTAAAGTCACATAGCAAGTAGTGATATCTCAAATTAATTTATATGAGGATTTGGGCATATCCTTTTAACATAAACTTTTAAAATGTGTCACAAAAGCATTCTGAGTCTGTCTCACGAAAAAGCAGAGAATATAAACAGTAGCTCCAGAATGAAAAGAAAAAAGACCATTTTTTTGGCGCGGGGTGGGGGGGTTGTTGTTTCTTCCTAGGCAATGACAGTAAGACTAATACTATTAAAAAGCACTACTCAAAAGAATTAAGGAGTCTTACCTTTGTTTACAATCACAGTGTTGAAGAGTTTTTCAGAGCTGGCATCTGATGCCTGAAAAAGAAGAGGAGGAAAAAGTGTTATGATTGTTATTGATATTGCCAGCCCCATCATGATTACTATTATTTTGAGTCAGTGTACTACATTTTAGGAAAGCAGTCATTTTTCCAAATCATCCATAAGGTGGTGCTAGTTGACTGCTTGAGAGAGACCTGCAGTGCAGCTATTTGCTGGAGGAAAAAAAAATCTGACTTTAAATATGTGTCCTTATTAGACATATTATCTGTGTAAAACATATTTCGCAGATGATACACAAAGCAATTCAACTCATTCTCATAATTATTTTTCTATTTCACCGACAAATTATTATTTGGGGAATAGTATTTTTGTGCATGGTATTTGCAGACATGCCTATTTTTCAATTTTCTTCCACAAATCAGAAATGCCTATTATGTAGTGCTAAGCTTTTCCTCCCTAAAGTGTTAAACACTCTCAGATACTCATTTTTTAAGATTCATCTGGTGACCCCAAAAATCCCTGTTTCTTACAATAACCAGAATGACCTTGGTGTTCAAATAGATGCAAGCTAACCTGCCCAAAACCCAGCCACCAGCATGATTTCCTTTTCATTTTCTAGCAATCGTGCCTGCTAATTATTACAGTGACTCAAGGAAAGTGAAATAAGCCTGTTTAAATAGCAACACTAAAGCCAATTTAAATTATACACTAATGTTCTAGAAAATAAATATTAATTCAGTTTAATGGAAAAGCTGTAATGTTTCAGAAGCACTGAATATTTCTAAGGGTGAAAAATTAAAAATTTAGCAACCTCACTATATACAGTAATTTGGGGATGTATCTTCCTTTAAAGTTATGATGGTCTATATGTGTGCTGTTTTTCTATGTAACCCCTATGAGAAACCACTTGTCTTTCACACTTTATACATAGAGATGTACATTCTGACAAAGCAAAGCACAGAATGCTGAATAAATATGGAAGAAAGAAACATAGGAAGTAGGGGGAGGGGGAAGTCTGAATAGCACATTCTGACTCACTGCCTTTTGGGGACAAAGAAGATATTCTATTTAGTCCTTTCAATGTTACACTGGCAAGATGAAATATTCCTATGTACATCTGGAGGACGTATTCTAGTTCTCAGTGTCAGTGATATAGAGACATAAAATATCCTTACTATGGCTATTTCCCTTTATTTTAATTCTGATCTTTCTTCTACAGAGTGGTTCAAAAGATTTAGGGGATCAAAGGGAAAAAAACTAATGCATAAAAGAAGTACTCAAAGGTATGTACTTATACATATACAGTTTAAAATAAATCCTAGATAGACTTTTTTCTCCTTTACAGAACTAAAATATATTCCCAGAGCCACTCTGATATCTTAAAAAAAACTAAATATTATAGTAGCTTCATATAAAAATGAACTGCCAAAAAAAGTACTGCATGGGGGAAAAACAACTTACACACCAAGCAGATGAGGGATACTGAGTTACAAAGGGGAAAATTACATGAATGATGTTGTTGTACTGAAATGAGAGATTTACAGGCATATGAGTTTCCGAGGTAAAAACTTGGCCATGAGAGTTTATTTCATTTCCCTATCCTTCAACGAAAAAGTCTCTTAGACTGGCTTGGAGTTTTCTTGATGTTACACACTCGAAGCTTAAAAAATAAACTGAAGCCGATATTTTAGAACCCGTTTATTAAATCGTTTTACCAAACTGAGAAAACCCTTGAAAGATTTGCGGTTACATATTAAAATGAGACTAACCGGCCCCCAGCGGAAGTCTCCCTTTGCTGTAGGTGCCTGTGCTGAAATGCCCCGTGCGGGGCGGCAGGCCCTTGAGAACTGCACCTTTTGTGAGCTCCCCTGCCTGCACTACGCATTTTGTGCTCCTCTGGTCTGAACCACAATTGAGGACAGGACTATTATGATGCCAACCACTAAGTTATTCAGGAAATAAGCCTGATATGTTATTCAGAAAGGCTTAGGAGAGTGCATTCTAATAAAGGCCTTTTCACCCTTTAACTCCCTGAGACTCCAGTGAGGAAGCTCCAAATGATGCCTTTCCCAACTGGGCAAAGAGGGGTTTCAAGAAGGCCTCCGTGGAAAAACATCCAAAAGATGTTGATTGCAAGGGGACTGGCTAATCACAAAAGGATTCTGGATCCCTCTTCCTCCCCATCCAGGCAGTGAAAACCGTGGCCAACCAGTGTCCTACAAAGTCAGAAGAAGAAGAAGAAAAAAAAAAAAAGCTTCTGAGCCAAAGTCTTATTTGAGAACCACAGGAAAATCCTTCGTGTTTCTTCCGGGAACTTTCCTTCCACCGAACACTCGAAAAGCATTCATACAAATCATTTCTGCTCCTTGCATCTTACTCTTGGGGACGTTTTCATTTTCGTCACTTTTAGAAATGTCCGCATTTCCCTCCGTTACTAGGATCATTTTCCTGGCCTGTTTTTCTCTTCTCTTTTTTAAATCAGAACCGCTAAGCACCAAGAGCCGCCGCGACCAGCAAGCGAGTGGGGTCTTCCTTCTCTCCAACTATGGGTACCTTTACACGCCACGGACTTGAAGATTTCACTCGTCGTTCCGTCTCTTTCTCCCTCGCTAGGTTTTGGGGGATTAAGAGCACGAAGAGGCTGAATCCCCAAATGACAGAAAAACAGAGGTCTCTTTGGGGCTTATTATGTAGGAGAAAGAGAGGGATTTTTTTCTTCATAGTGAAAGATTACTAGAAGCCGTAGTTGGTTTTAAAAGTTAAGCCAACCAGAGCAGAAGGGGGAAGGAGGAGAATGAGAAAACGAATGAAAGCCTTGGGTGCACGGCGGTGGGACCTGGAGGACCCGGCTTCCCTCCGGACTCAGACCCCCGGCCACCCTCCGCACCCACATCCGCGGGGAGAGCGACTTTCCAACGAGCGAACAGAAACCTCTTGGAAACTTAAGCGCGAGTTCTTTCACCCACGGCCGATCCCTTGGTGAGCCTGGCGGTCCTTTCGCTTCCCTGGGCACCGCGTGCAGGCGCGGACAGATCTGGCTCGGGAATTCAGGCCCTGAACGGAGAGCGCAGGGGGCACCGGCCCGGGCCGGGGGAGCCCCGGTCCCTCCCCGCGGTGG